TTATCCAAATTTGTTTACAAACGACGTAGTTCTGAAGTCATCATCATTATTATATCAGCCTTTAACTGTCCACTGCTGAACATAAGCCTCTCCCTTGGGGGAGTTTTACCAATAGTTGTCACGCTTGGCAGGCGGATTGGCAACTACAGTTAAGCTTTAGAGATGTTTTAAGAGAAACGCTGCTATCCATCCCTGGCCCTCCCTTAGTCGCCTCTTACGACACCCATGGAAAAGGAAGGGATGGCCTATTCTACGCCGGGATCACGGTTCTGAAAGTTAACGTGGTAATGTTACAAACTCCTTATTTCTTTTATAGGTTTTACTTTTATAATATTTTAATACTTTTTTGTTTTTATAATTGTCACTTTGCTCTTCTGTTGTAGTCTGTCTTCTGTGGTTTACTTTATTGTGGACATTTTCCTTAAAACCCATTACTTAATTACTCTAAATACATCAACATACAGTCCATAATGTCGCCCACATTTTTGGTAACACAAACAAATACAACCGAACCTCCTTTATTGGCTGGTGGGGGGGAAGGGATTGTTAGTAATGAGGTCTAATAGCCTCATTGCTAGCAATATACCCTCAGGTCGGACTTCACGCAGTTCCTCTTAAAAACCATCATGGTTAATTCTTGACCAATTAATCATGGTGGGCTAACTGACCTGCAATCATTCTCACCTGTCATCGTCCACTGGTGCCTGGTCTGTGTATACCGATAGCGCGGACGGGGCTACCATTCCATTTTCACCCATAAAAAAAAAAAACTCCTTTATCGAAATTGAGAAGTAGTAACCGCACAATATTTGTTCATAATAAAAACCTGGATTCTGTTTAAGTCATTTCCCATTAATTTTATATCCATTCAATTTGTTTTTTGCCGGGAAGAGGAAAAGGAACGCTTGTACATACAGCCAGCGTTAATTATTTAGTTTATTTTTCTTTCGTCGAGTGCTTTTAACGCAAAAGTGAAAAGTTAAATGCATTTATTTTCTTTCAGTAAATTGCACGGTGCGGTGGCCCGGTTTTTGCTAGTAATTTGACGTAAGCGTTATGCTCTCTCTATTCATATATGATGTACTTGTAAAGGTTATTTTTTGGGTATAAGGTTACTTTTTATATCTATTTAACCATTTTATGAAAGATATTGTATCTGTAGATAATTAACGATGGCGGGACATAAAAAAAACGATCTCAATTGTGATAAAACCAGTTATTTTGATCAAAAAATTAAAGACTGAACCGATTTTGATAAAATTGTATGGGGCCAATCTGTAAGCATATCCTTTCAGATAAATAATTTTCCAATTAGGTTTAGAATTGACGGAGTTGTGAGATAACAAATAAAGTTTTTTGAAGTTGATTGAAAAAAAAACAATAGTTTCACTATCTTCAAAGAGATTGTTGGTAATGAGGACTGACAGCTCAATTTTTTTTATACAACTTAGAATGGCAAACAACATTAACATTAATATTAGCAAATATTTAGACTACGTCATTTCCATCCTTTAAATTAAATAAAATTATCAAAACTGTATTTAGTAATAAAGACAAATACAGTTAATCAAACTACATATTTCCTTTTTTGAAATCATCTGAAAATATATGGTTTTGTTAACTAGAATTTAGTTAACAAAACTTTTGTATAGTGTTAAACATTAGAGATAATCAGTGAAAACTGTATTGTACCTAAAATTACACATTCATCCATCAAATTACAGAAATTTTAAAATACTTTAATGTAGAATTAAAATCATTTGTAAACTCAATGTAATAAAAAGGCGTAATCACATGCTATTATTGTAATGGACACATTTAAAGCAAGGGACATACGTCGTTACGCCACATAGGTAAATTCAATAACCCTCGAATGGGTTCAATAAATTTACCCCGAAACCGCCGTGCCGTACCCGATTAACGTCTCACTTCGTTAACCCCGCCTATTCATTCTCGATTACCCCTTTTCTTATGCTACTGTTTCATCAAGGATATTTTAAGATAATGCCTAATGTTGCCTGGTAATCTATTGTACCTCTATTAGTATATTTGGAGGGAAGGAATTGTTAGTAGTGGGAACTAATAGCCTCATCGTATTAAGACAACGGTTTACTTCATTAAATTTGGTTTTGATATTTTTTTAATGTTTATTAACTCCGTCGTATGTAAATCGATTTGAAAAATTCTTTTTTTATTTGAAAGGTTATACTTTCAAGTTAGTCTTATAGAAATTATATCTAAATTGTCTCAGTAATTTAGTTTTTAAATTAAAATAACTGATTTATGTTAAGATTTCTGTGAAACAAAATCTTAGATTATTTTGTGTTAATTATCTTTAGTTAGTGTAACAGTGTTTGCTGAACAAATTATTATTGATTATTAAAAAACAAAATTGTTATTGTATACTTTATCATTTAACAGTAAGCTTGTTTTTTTATGCAATTTAGAATAGCAAATAAACCGACGGTCCACTTGATGGAAAGTGGTACTGTCTTCTATAGACGAGAGCAGTACCATGGACATAACAGAGTATACTGGTTCGCCCATGATACTCTCCATGCTATTCCTCTGTACCCTGTAAATTTACTGCCCTGTCTCCACCCTTCAAACCGAAACACAGCTATGCAAACACAACTGTTTCACGGCAGAAACACGAATGGGACAGAGGTGCCCAAGCAAATGACTTTTGTACAAAGTCTCCCTCTGGTAAGTTACTTGTAGTACTACAAATAAATTAAGTATTGAGGTATTTCAGTATGTATTATATCTTTCTCAGGAGGTACAACTACCTGTCAATTTGTTTTAGCTCCGCTAAAGGTCAAGGCATGATTGTTCAGTAGGGGAAAATTAATTTATTTCATGCTTTAAATTTATTCGGGCCTCTGATCGTGTTGTATATAATTTTGTAACGCAATTTAACGTATCTGGAAAAATATTTATTCTTCAATTCCGAGAAAAATGAACACGAAACAACGTTTGATAATTTTTAAGTGACTCCCAAAAGTAGGAGGTATAATTTTTGCCTGTATTTTTTCGTATTATTTTTTACGAAACTTGGAATGGCAAACGTGGCCGCTTTGTGGAAAGTGACAAGTTATAGAAAATCGAAGTTCAACAGTCACGACCGTTACCATTGTTAGCAGTCAACTTTTTTTTTATACAACTTAGAATGGCAAACAAGCTGACGACCCACCTGATGGAAAGTGGTAACCGTCGCCTATAGACATGAGCAGTACCATGGGCATAACAGTACACACACATACTGTTTCGTCCATGATACCCCCCATGCGTTGCCATTCCTGAGGACTCAGGTGTTATTCCTCTGTACCCAGTAAATTCACGCCATATCCTACCCTTCAAACCGAAACAGCCATGCAAACACAATTGCTTTACGGTTGATACACGAATGGGGCAGAGGTACCCAAGCAATCGACTTTTGTACAAAGTCTCCCACTGTTAATCATTCTGTCAATAGATTGTTTACTTTGACATGGCACGCCCCTTGAACTTTTTACTTCAATGTGTGTGACTATGTACAGAGCTTTTTTTATACCATGAAGGTGGCAAACAAACTTACAGCCCGTGTAACGGTAAACGGTTTCTGTAACTTATGGACGCCTGCAACACAACACTAGGAGTATCACGTACGCGTTGCTGACTTTGAAGATACCTTCATATTACACTTTTTTTAAAATCGCCATACTGTAGTCTCTAGGGCAGGGGTGGCTAACCGGTCGATCGCGAGTGTTAGTCCAATTGATCGTGGCAAGGCAAAAAATATAATATTTTGTTAATCAAGCAGAAGATGCTCACACCTAATGCTCCTACTAATATAAATAAGTAGTTACTAAGAAAGACAGTTTTTAGTTTTATATTTTTTTCTCTTAATAAACTAAAAAATACTACAATACTATCTACATATTTTGTGTACTGAGTTATGTTGTTTCTTTTGAGATTTCAAGAAGTATGTAATTGGTAAGTCGCACAGGGTTTCCTCAGGAAACAGTAGATCTTGGCCCAAGTTCTTGGGTCTAGTTAAGTCGGTTGATATGCGGTGTCTTCATAAGACCATGCCAAAACAATAGTTGTTAGAAATTTTGTCTGTCTGTCGTATGTTTGTTCCGATATTAAGCAAAAACTACTACACTAAATTAGATACAGTTTTTACATGTATTCCTGAAGGTCGAAATTAAAATAAGGTGTATGTTTGAGCTTGATCCGATATCTAGAAGCAGTTTATTCATTAGTTTTTCTACTTTTGAAATCCACTAATACTAAGAAGGCAAAAAGGTAGTGTGGATTAAAAAGTATTTGTTAAAGTCGTAATGAAAAATAATAACACATCTATTTAACGTCCATAGAAGTAATAACTAGATTTTAATCAACAATAATTTAGCGAGAAATTTCGTTCAAAGTTGAATAGAATTCACGTAGTAAACTTTGTCAATTTCCTACACCTAGCGTTTGCTGCAAATTGCGTTAGTCAGAAACCGGCTCGTCAACAAAGCTCCGTCGTGTGTGCCCAATGAAGCGGCCGCATTTACATCTCAGTGAGCTGACCATTCATTTGATTAGGCGGTCGATAAATGGTGGACGTAGTTAAAGTTTCCTTATGGGAACTAATCAATTATTAGACTGGTTTTCTATACTTATTATGTCTAAAAAATCGATTGAAGTGATGAAGATTTAAAAGTCTGTAAGTGCATAATTAATAGCTTATCATGATTATTATGTCTAGAATACACTGATATTTCGAATTAAAACTTTAAGTCTTTGGCATTTATTTACAAAATAGAAAAAAGTGCACATAGTTTTATTTGTTTAAGTTATGCATTAAGATGGCTGGAATCTGTATGAATTAAAATATTACTTGGAAAAAGTAAATTCATAAGAAACAAATTTGAAAGAACTTAATCCCAATAAAACATACCGTATTTTTCGTATCTTAAATATAAATTCTATGTTTATTTATATAGTGTATAATATTAAGTACAACTTACCATCAAAAAAGCTGGGTCGTGGCGTTTTCATATTTGCAATTGTAGGAATATGGGAGGAAGATGGATAATCAGTAGGATATCCTAACGACTCATTTATGTACTTCCTTGTAACTATATCTTCATCTGAATTATTTCCTGTTTCATTTCCAATTAAATAATCATCTATAATACTTTCATTAAAATTCATTAAATCTACAGAAAAATCATTATCACGAATTGTAGTTTTAGATTTAACATTTTTATTTACAGTAGTGGAAAAGTCATGGAATATTTTAGTTCTAGTCGCATCGTCTACTCTTAACTTCTCCATCGAGTTACCATCTACTTTTCTTGGTTTTGTTTCTATTTCTCTATAAGTTCTATTTGCTTCTACATCTATAGAATTATTTAGCAGTTGAAAATCTAATACCTCATTATCATTTATTAATTTTTTGCTATTAATTAGAGTATTTATATTAACCTGTGATGAATTATTAAAAATATTGCTTTCATTGTGAGCTGTCGTGTTATCTGCTACGTTTTTTCTTCTGAACCTATCTAATAGTGTTTGATATTTTTTACTACTTACAATTGTTTTATTATTGCCAATATTATTAGATTCATTGGCGTAATTGGAGCTTAAATATTTTATTGAATTTTTATATGTTGTGTTTACTTGATTATGTTGAAATGTTAGAATAGTTGAGTTCATTTGTGTGTTGATTAATGGCAGTAGGAGGAATATGGAGGTAAGGGAGAGGATAGAGGGGATCTGAAAGGATTTTCCGTAGAGGGGTGAGCAGTGGAAGTTAAGGGACGAAGTGGGTCGCGACGGCCGTCTCATGCCAGGCCGGCACTTTAGCGCCGACTATTCTGAAAATGAGAAAACAATAACTTAAGAACTTTAACTCTTCCAGACGACACATTTTTTGGCAAAACAGTAAATTCAGGCAATTTAATTTATTTTAATAGATTTACATGTGTAATTTTCATAAGTTTTATACTATATGTATGTATATTATTTAAATAAATATCCTTGTCATCATCATATCAGCCGTTAACTTTTCACTGGTGAACATAGGCCTCTCCTTGTTGGGGGATTTTTCCAGTAGTTGCCACGCTTAGCAGATGTGTTGGCAACCGCAATTAGACTTTGTTGATGTTTTAAAAGGGACGCTGCTGCCTATCCCATTTCTTTATTTGTCTCTTATGACACTCACGGGAAGGGAAGGGATAGCCTATTCTATGCTGGCACACACGGTAAATTAATAGTATTTAGTAATGTCAAATAAATAAAAATAAAAGAAGATAAATGATAATGTTGTTATCAAGATTTAATATATCTGCATTGAACCAATATTGTTAAATGAATTATTAAACATGAGTTTATAGTTTTTTTTTTATATACAACTGGCAAACAAGCTGACGGCCCACCTGATGGAAAATGGTAACCGTCGCCCATAGACATGAGCAGCACCATGGACATAACAGAGTATACTGTTTCGCCCATGATACCCCCCATGCGTTGCCAATTCTGAGGACTCAGATGTTATTCCTCTCTACCCTGTTAATTCACGCCATATCCCTCCTTTCAAAACAAAACACAGCCATGCAAATACAACTGCTTTACGGTTGAAACACGAATGGGACAGAGGTACCCAAGCAATCGACTTTTGTACCAAGTCTCTCTCTGGTTTTTTATCATAATGTATTATTATACCGGGATTATGTAAAATATAGAAGCTTGTTTTATATTAAATTTATAAATATACGTATGCATGTGGTTACGGATATTCCATATTACGTCAAAAACAATTGACTTAAATTTATTATTTTGCATACAATGCGGTTATTAATAATGAGCTTGTAATTAAATATAAATAATAACATCATAATTTGACATCAATAACATATAGACACATAACTTTTATATAATGCAGTTTATATATATATATATATATATATATATATATATATATATATATATATATATTTTAATAGTTATTTTCCACAAAAAATACTGATTTCTATTGTTTTGTTATAAAAACTAAACTATTGAACAGATTTTGATAAAATTTCTGTGAGAGCAATCTGTAAATATGTCCTTTTTGATAAAAAAATCTTATTCGGTTTATTACTAATAAAGTTATTAAAATTTTTAAAATAGAGTACTGTTTCGCCCATGATACCCCCAATGCATTGCCATTCCTGAGGACTCAAGTGTTATTCCTCTGTACCCTGTAAATTCACGCCATATCCCAACCTTCAAACCGAAACACAGCCATGCTAACACAACTGCTTTACGGTTGAAAAACGAATGGAATAGAGGTATCCAAGCAAACAGCTTTTGTACAAAGTACATGTGTAGATTACTGTTTGTACTTCAATAAAATAAAATACTTCTATGTACGTATATTTATGTTGCGAATAGTGTTTTAAAACCAATTATAATTCTAATTTGATCATACTATTTTGTTAATTTTGTCAGAAAGGTAAAAACATGGTGACGCCATGATAAATTAGGGTGGCCGGCACAGTGAAATCGAGCATCAGTGGAAGATGATAGGTGAGAATGAATGCAGGTTAGTTGGCCCACCATGATGAATTCGATAAAAATTAACGATGAATGAAATGAATGAAAAATGATGGTTTCCAGGTGGAACCGCGTGGAGGTCGACCTGAGAGGGTATATTGCTAGCAATGGGGCTATTAGACCTCATTACTAACAATCCCTTTCCCCCCGTGACATGAATATTAGCCAACTAAAGATGAGCTTAAAAATGTTTGTTTATATTGTTGTTAATTTTTTTTATGATTGAAGCAGGTGTGTTTGAATTGCAGTATTTTGGTTTAAAGGGTGGATATGGCAGTGAAATTACAGGGTATAGAGGAATAACACCTTAGCTTTCAGAAATGGTAACGCATGAGGGGTGTCATGAGCGACACAGTATATTCTGTTATGTCCATGTCTATAAGCGACGGTTATTGCTTTCCATCAGGTCGGCCGTCAGCTTGTTTCCCATTTTAAGTTGCATAATTTTTTTTTAACTTATATGCATAACTTATATTACATAAAATAGTCTATATAATAAATAGTGGAGAATGATTGACGGAAATGATGATGATGATGATTGATAAGACACTTTACTTAAGCAAGTAACTTCATTGTATAACTCAACCAATTAACTGAATCTCTTAGAAACTGCTTACAAAAGTCACAATCAAGAACGGATTTTCGAACTTCCCTTTGTTGCCATTCGATTTTCTGCCTTTTGTCCGGCGATCCAAAGATCTGATTAGATTAATAGACTATCCGATGAATGAGGTATTCAAGAGGAGTCTGAAAGGTTTTATGATTGGCCCATTGTGGAAGGTGCTGTACAGAATTATGAGTAAACAAGTGTACTTTTTTTTTTAAAGAAACGTAGATATCGCCAAAAGAGTCTTTAAGTGTGTGTACATGAAAGTTCAATTTTGAATGTATTTTTAGCTGAAAATTTAACAAGTCAGGCGTATCGTTGTCCTACATAATAAGATCCGTAGCTATTCTAACAAATATTTTTCATACTTATCTTAGAATGTAATAAAATTACTCGTAACGTGATTTGCCTTTAATAAGTTTTCCATGAAGTATTTTTAATAAAATATTTATAATTCTAATTCTCATCAAAAGTTCCATGTACAGTTAAATTCATAATTTTAGTTCCGATTTTTGTATAAATTTATTAAGGAGTTGAGGTTTCGTATGATTGTTTTCTGTTTGATATTTTTAAGTATCTTTTTACATTATTTGTTATGTTTTGTTTGTTTTTTTTTTTACAATACAGCCCCCCCCCCTTCGGGGGGCAAACGAGCATGCGTCTCACCTGATGAACGAGCATGTGTCGCCCATGATCACCCAGAACACCAAAGGCATTGCAGATGTACTGCTGTCGTTTTAAAAATGAATATACTCTTTTATTGAAAGTTATGTTGTCGTATCGGTTCGGAAATACTGCTACTGGATGTTGATTCCAAAGAGTGATTGTGCGTGGAAGAAAATGCCTTGAAAAACGCACGGTCACCGCCACTCGTCCATATGATTGGGATGAAACTTTAGTTTATGGCGGATTATATCGTACATGGCGATAATAATCAGCAGCAGGTATCAATCCGAATAATCCTTCAGAGCACTCCCCATGATATTTGGTATATATCCTTTGGTAGTAAGCATAATTGAAAAAACTCATCCGTCTGGGTGATTGATTTTTTTTTATACAAGGAAAGTGGTAACCGTCGCCTATAGACATGAGCAGTGCTATGGACATAATAGAGTATACTGTTTCGCATTTGATATCCCCCATGCGTTGCCATTCCTGAGGACTCAGGTATTATTCCTCTGTATCCTGTAAATTCACGCCATAACCCTTCCTAAAGCCCACCCTTCAAACCAAAAGACAGCCATGCAAACACAACTGCTTCACGGTTGAAACACGAATGAGACAGAGGTACCTAAGCAAACGACTTTTGTACAAAGTCTCCCTCTGGTAAATTAATTAAATTAAAGAAAATTAATTATTCTAAATATATTATGAAAGACTTAATTTAGAAGAAATGATTATAAGCATATCGTTGCATTTAATAATTAAAATGCATTCAAACAATCTCCTCCTATTTGGATTAAGTTAAAAATGTAAAAAGAAAATTAATTTTACAAAAAAAAAGAAAGGAAAAAATAGGTATAAAATTTCTCTATGAATTAAGAGAAGTAATAAATTTACTTAGCGTCCATTACACTTTGAAAACTTTCATTTAAACAATGTAATGGAAAATGTAGTTTAATTTTTAATTAGACATTAAAATGTTCTTTGGAGAACTAATATCATAGAAAATTTTTAAATAATAATTCATAATAAAAATATATTTATTATTATTTAAATTTTTAGAAAATTTACATCTCCCCTCTTAAGTAGAGGAGATGGCAACTAACTTCCGGCAGAAGCACAGTCGGCCAGGGTTCAGTGAAACTGGCGTACAACGCGAGAGAATCTAAGAGCACCGCTTTCAGTATCTTTCCCGGGAATGAGCCGCCTCGGAATTCCAACCGTCTGAGATGTTGTTCCAGACTAGTTGGGAGAAGACCGGTCACCGACAAAACGATTAGAATGATTTCGATGGACGTCGCCCCGCACATTTCGGTCACCTCGTGAGCCAAGTATTGTTTTCCCTCCCCTATCAAAAATTACCCTCAATTAGTTAATTTTGGATGTTTATCTTCTCTCGATGAATCGTAATTATTTTATAATTATATCAAATAGTATTATATTACATAGTTACGGTATATATTTACAATTATGTTATTTTGAAGTCTCGAAAACAATTCAGTTAAAGATGCAAATATTAAGAACGTAGGATCCAATTCAATTTGGCTACAAAATTAAATTAAACGAACCTCTCCATAACAGGCTTATGTCGTTGATCTACTACGTGCGTGTATAATAAGTAATTGTATTCTAAATCGCTGTGAGCAAGAATCGGGTAAGCTTGGATGTGATATCCATATTGATGAATCTGAGAACAGATATGTTCCTATATAGAAATAAAAAACCAGAAATTACAATTAAAATAAATAGCTTATTGTACTAGGTGTCATTTTAGCGGAAGTCCATATCACTGGATAGTCAAATAATTTTTTTGTATAATTTTACCATTAGTATGCGTGCGACTGCCAACAGAAATTGAAGATTGACTCTCCCCTTCTCTCTTCAGTCGTACACTATTGACAGAGCGGTCGTGGTTTTTACGATGATAGTGGATCGTCGATGAGGTCATCGCAATGCGTCTCTATTTACATTCTTCTACTCACAGCCGAGAGAGAGTATTCCACAATAGAC